GTGTTTTCTCTATCTCCTGCTCCTCCCCCCACCACCCCTCCACCTCCTGTGCATCCATACACATTTTATCTTTTAAAAAAAAAAAAATTATGCCTCACACCAGTCCTGTAGTGCAGCGGTGGAATGCTTTGAGAGTCAGATCTCCTGTGGCCAACGGCAATGCAACTCCTGGCCCTACTGGCTTTAGAAACATGCCAGACATATGCATGTGTGGCTAAGATTTGACAGAAGGGAGAAATGGAGGAGGAATGGTTATAGAGATGATTATTCCCCTTTCTCTCTCTCTCTTTCTCTGTCTCTGATGACCATGTGCCCTCTCTGGCAATAAAAAAAGAGTTCAAAATGTATGCCTCGATCAATTATTTAAAAAATCTAAGATTTTTAATATTCAAGAGACCTAAGATAAAGTGTTTTTACACTTTCATTTTATTCAGTATTACTAATAATTATAAATGAAACTTAATTTAACTATGAAGACTAAATGACTCAATACAGATAAAGAACCCTAGTACCACAGAAATGTAATAAATTATAATTATAGATGAGGACACTCACTTATCATTCATTGTCCATGCCACTCAGGGACTTTCAAAACCTAAAGCTCTTCCTTTTCCTACTATCTTTTGTAGTATTTCAAACATTTGTTTAATGCAAACATATACTTTTTAAAGGTTTTTACATGAACATTTGTTTCATTTCTTTGGGATAAATGCTGAAGAATACAATTACTGGATCATATAGTAAGGGCATTTTTTTAATTTAAAAATGCAGTTTTTCCACATTCTTGTCATAATTGGTATATCACTGTTTTAGTTTAGTCATTATAATAGCTGTGTAATGAAACATCATTGTGGTTCTAATTTGTTTTTGCCTAAAGCTACTGATTTTGAAAATTTTTCCATTTTCTTCTTTGCTATTTGTATATCCTCTTTGGTGAAATGTCACTTCAGGCCTTTTGCTCACTTTTAAACTGAATTTTTCTTTTCTTGTACTATTTTGAGAATTGTTTAAATACTATACATACTAGACATGTGACTTACAAATATTTTCTCCTTGTCTCTAGCTTGTTTTTTAGAAGGGTATTTCTTTCTTTTAAAGTGTTTTTAAAAATTCATTATATAGTAATTTTCTAGGCATCTTTAAGTAAGTTAGTTAATGGTATAGAAACAATACATTCTAAAGTATACTATAATAGATTTCCACTTAAGCGTTCTCTATATATGGAGATCTAAATGAGAGATGGTCATACTGTAATCCTTTTCCTCCGTTTCTCTATCTCATTAGGATTTAAGGTACACATGCTTTTACTATGGGGCATGTGCACTTGTTGGAAATACAGAGACAGGAAGAGAGAAATCAGCTCTCAGTGGGGAGGGCATTGGGATCTTGGGCATGCATACTGGCCCTTGAACCGTGGTCACCTACATGGGACTCCAGCAATATAACCATTATACCATCTGCTGGTCCCCCAGAGCTGGTCCTATCAGTTCCCCCTTTAACCCTCAAATATTGGTGTTAGGGATGTTTCTCTTTCCTCTTTTTCTCCCCTTCCTGAAGTTATAGATCTCTCAGGACTTATGGAGGGAAGATTTTTTAAAAATAATTTTTAAAAATAGAACTCCAGATATTTTGTTTAATAACATATGAGAGCTAAACCCTCACAGTGCTGTGATTCGATGTTTTTAAAGACTGAATTCGCAGACCAGCAGATAAAGACAACAAAGTAAAGCTATTGACTCCAGATACTGAAAAAATAGGACATTGGGAATCAACTGGGAGGATGGGAGGAAGAGTTCAGAGCAGCCTGTGAGGGTCATACGAGACACCTTGACGTCTAGGATTAAGCCTATGAGCCATAGAAGGAGGTTGTAGGTCAAACTGAATAGAAAAGAGAAATTGTCTATAAGTTTTACAGTTTTGTGGTCCCTGTAGAGTCTGCTTGAACCTGAAGCAGGGAACTGATTGAAATCTCCATTATCCCACATGATGATAAACAAGTTCAAGTGATAATAAGATTATTTTACATAAGGAACTCCTTTCTTCCACTGTAAAAGACATACTGCCAGGTGACTTAGTCTTTTGTGTTTCTGGGACTAAGAGTCCAGCGCCATGCTAGACATTGTGAATATAAAAATTAATGAGAAGAGTTCCAGCTTGCAAGGTGTTCATACTGGTAGAAAGGAAAGATGGTCAGCAGCTGCAAAATAATATATATAGTATACATTACATATAAATATTATATATAAAACATAGAATTATAATATATAATTAGTATAGATAATATGGAAGTATGTAAATTGAGGAAATATTAATTCTGCCCTGGTGAATAGTAGAGTCATATGAAAGAGACATTTAAGCTAAATCTTGCTAGGGGTTATTATTATTTATTCAGATTTTTGCCATAGAGTGTGTACACTCGCTGGAGAGAGACAGAAATGGAGAGAGATGCCGGAGGCCTGCTCCAGCCGGGATGGGTTGACCTGACGGAGGCGACGCGGATGAGGGGAAATCAGACTGAGACCCCAGTCCTCTTCAGCATGTTCTCAGCTGACTACGGTCAGAGCAAGCTCAAGACTGCAGCATCTATAGCCAGGAATCATACATATTTATTGGGGGATGTTTACAGGAGTAGGAGGGGTGAGGAGGAGATAAAAGATTTTACTCTAGAGAATAGGGTATTCAAAACATGGGGACAATAATCATAAACATGATGTGCTGTTCTTGTTTGACCAGTTGTAATCAATCACAGTCCTCAGGGCGGGGGAGTCCATTTGTCCAGTACATTTTCTTCTTGGATCATGATTACCAGGTAGGGCCTTTTGAATGAGGGGGTTTTCAGCGAGCTTGGTAACTTACTTCAGCACCCCCCCCCCCAATCGGGGCGGCAGCAGATTGTGGTTACAAAGGCCTAGATAGAAATCTTATTTGATTAAGTAAAGACATGATTAATACATACTAGAATGGACCATTTATATTGTTTCTAGGGTATTTTATAGCTAAGAGGGTGAGCCTATTGCTTGCATGGGAAAGGAATGTGGTCTTGTGAGCAGTTTAATGACTAACCGAAAAGTTATTATGTACATGTGAACCTGAGAGGGACTTCAGTATTGTTCATTGTTATTTTCCAGGCAGGTGGGGTGAGTCTAATTCCTGTTCACCTCCGCCTTGGGATCTGCAGTCTCTTAGGATTATTAATTGTAAAAGTTACAGTAAGGCTGGGGGTGTTATTTCACCCTTACAGGGTACCATGATGACAGTAAAGCCCATGGCAGAGAGAGTGAAAGCGCAAACCAGTACCGCAAACACAGTTGGAACCTTGAGCTCTAGCTGTAGCCCTGCGTACAGCTTTTTCTCAGCCAAGCCTTGCTTAAGCATGAGAGATAGCTCTTTATGTTCTGCCTGTGTTAGCTGCATGGCCCCGTCGGAGAGAGGGAAAGCAAGAAATCAGCCCTCCCCCAGGGGTGATGGCCACTTGGCAATCCCTTCTCCTTCATTATCCTTTGGGGACTTTGGGAAGGCAGGTTATGTTCACACACAGTCTTTTTCTTCCCGTGTATGGGACTAGAAATGCACAGTCAGCTACATGGGATCCAGTGCCTTAACCCCCCCACCACTTGCAGACCCCATTGCTAGATGTTTTTAAATCAAATGTTTATTTTTTATTAAATTTTATTTATTATTTTTTAATGTGACCAGAGAGAAACACAGGGTGCTTGTGGGGTGAGGGAGTGAGAAAGCAAGGCTCCAGGTCTAGGACTTGAACTGTGGTCAGCCACATGGGAGGCCAGCCCATCAACCATCATGCCACCTGCCAGCCCTTCAAATGTTTATTTTCCTTCTCCAATGAATATGAAACAAAGAAAATTTGGAAAATGAAATGAAACTGAATTTTTGAACTTCATGGAAAAGTCAAAGCTTATAGAGAAATCAAATTTGTTCACCACTTCATTTAGTAATTTTTAAAGTTTATTCTATGAGTGAGAGAGAGGCAGCATACACAAAGAACCGCGATTCACCCCCAGCCAGACGCAGAATCATGAGCTCCAGGGTCTGGAGCTGCACCACGGCCCAGTTCATTTAGCAAATATTTGCTGCCTCCACCCCCTGCTGCATTCCAGGAATATGGCCACTGTCCTTGCCAAAAGGGGGTGATGGGGTAATCTAGTGATCAGATAATCGCATCCTGATGGTTAGAGTGACCTGAAAAAGCAAGCACAGGGCGACTAGGAAGCACATGGAAGCACATGGTAGCTTCCAATCTGGATAGACTGAAGACGTTGAGATTTGCACTGAGACCGAGGTCATATAAAGCACAGTCTTATTGTGCAGAATTTGTATTTAACGATGTTTTGATGTACTAGGCAGAAGAAGTATCCATAGCTTGTATGTGTGAGGAAGGAGACATTTTACAGTTGCCATATACTTTCCTTTATTTAACCTCAAGGCTACTCTCAATTCAGATGATGAAACAGGTTCACAGAATAAAGGATCAGCGACTTGCCGAAGGCCAGCGTACTCAGCAAGCATCAGCACAACACGGTTGTCCCCTCCCTGTGAGGCGCAAGCTCTTTGCTAGGCCTGGGCTCGCTGCCTGGGCCTTCGGAGAGTTCCAGCCTTAACGCCCAGGAACGTGCCGTTAGACCTCCGTCCTGGGCCCTTGTTCTTTTCTCCTCGGAACTCCGGTGGCCCTGCCTGGCACACCGTGCCCAATGGACAGTAGTTGGAAGGAACTTCCTCGTCCAGTCCTCCCCACAGCCCAGTGCCAGGCCTTCACGCTGAGCCCTCCAGAGCGAAAGGAGCTCGCGCTCGAGGGGTCAGGCTGCGGCCGCGCCTCGCATCTTAGCATCCAGGGCCCCCGGACGCCCGCTCTGGCCTCAGCTCGCCGCCAGGCCGCGCCTCTGCTGCGCCCATTCCCCGCCGCGGGAAGCAGAGGTGCGCGTGCCGCAAATGCCTCCACGTTGGCGCGGCCGTGGGCGGTTGGTCCGCCCGCAGGGTTTTACCTGTCGGCGCGAGTCCGCAAGGCCCCGCGTCGGGCGCGTTGCCGAGGGGCCGCCTCGGCGGGCGTCCTTGCCGTTCCCGGACCCTCCGAGCCTGATCTGGTAGGACTCTCCTCCCCCCGCGCTCACGCTCACTCGCCTCCCCCCGCGCTCACGCTCAGGGAGCAGGGGCTGCGCGGCGCGGCGGCGATGTGTTCGACGCCGGGGCTGCCGACGCCGGGGGCCTCGCTGACCCTGCGGGTGTCCTTCGTGGACGTGCATCCCGAAGTGATCCCAGTGCAGCTATGGGGACTGGTGGGCAAGCGACGGGACGAGTACGTGCGGCTAAGCCGAGACATCCAGGAAGCCGCGGCCACGCGCGGCCCGTGGGCGCTGGGCGGTGCCTCGGCCTCCCCGGGCGAGCTGTGCCTGGTGCAGGTGGGGCTCATGTGGCACCGCTGCCGCGTGGTGAGCCGGCAAGCGCAGGAGAGCCGCGTCTTCCTGCTGGATGAGGGCCGCACCATCACGGCAGGCGCGGGCTCGCTGGCGCCCGGGCGCAGCGAGTTCTTCCACCTGCCCTCGGAGGTGCTGGGCTGCGTGCTGGCCGGGCCGGGGCCGGGCGGGGG